TTTTTTTTTGGAAAATAATAAAAAAATGTTAAAAAAAGAGAGAGAACATGCAAAGTAATCTATGATACCTTTTTGCTGAATTATTAATCAAAATGTTTTAAATGTGTGGTGACAGTTTTAATATATTTTACGTGGAAAATAATTGTTTTAAGAAGGGAAACAGTCTACTGCAGAGCTCTGCCTTCTACAGTCTTACTCTGTATAAAAGTAAAGCTTTCAGAAGAATATTCTTTTTTCCCTTCTACCTTTTATTGTGTTAGTAGGACAAGGACAACAACACAGAGGTAAGGACAAAGAAGGAGAGACAGAGGCTGACATGAAAGGGACAAAAGGACTCTGCAGCCAAAGACACACATTCCCAGACAACTTTCAGTGAAATCAACCTTATCATGGTGATTTTGCTACCCTGGTAATACTTTGGAAATTAGTACTAGTTACACTCCTTTTGAAAATAGATACAAACAATTTCCCATTTGAAGGTATTAAAGAGAAGCCTTCTATTCAACTAATTATTTAGTAAATTTAAGATGGCTCACCAATAATTCTGGTTGTTCCTAATGTTTGTGGTGCTTATAAACTGACTTCCATAATTTTAAACTACTCTGTAAATACACAGCAGTGTATCTCAGTCTGTTCAATATATTTAGAATTGGGGCTCCTTATAATTATGGCAGCATCCCAATCCCCACTACAGGCCTAGTAAAGATGGTCTGCTTACAAGATTAAGCTTACAGGCCAGCTGTTTCTCAAATCTCAGTCTGTGGGTCCAATCATACACTCATTTTAGACCCCAATGTCTTCACTGAAGTTGGTGGCTATACGAGGGTTCTTCCTTCCTTCCTTTTTTAAAAACAAGGCTTAAACGTCTCTTGCTTGGTGTGGTGGTGGTGCTGACTTATGGCAACCCCATGAGGTTTTCAAGGCAAGAGACATTCAGAGGTGGTTTGCCACTGACTGCCTCTGCGTACCAGCCCTGGTGTTCCTTGGAAATCTCCCATCCTTAGCTTCTGAGATCTGATGAGATCAGGTTAGCTTGGGCTATCCCAGTCAGGTTGATGTGCTTGGTGCCTGTTTGGTGTGCCCACTAACTTATGTAGAAACAATAAATACAGTATTCCTACATGTGTGAGCCTCTCAAATATCAGTCATTATTTATTAATGTATAGATAATTCCACTCAAACGCAGCCCACATATGAAATTGGTTAATGTAATAAAACTTACGAAACTTGCAAAGCTGAATTAATTTCCTTTAGCAGCTCTTGGGTCTTATTAAAATCTGCCAGCAAGCTTTGTTTCTCTCTGATGTGGTCTGCTGTCATGACATCCAGCTCTTTCTCATGTTTCTTGTTTAAATCTTGTTCATGCAGCCTGTTTAATTTATTTTATGTTAAAAAAGTTATTTTTACATCAGCTCTGTTCATCTTGACTTCCTGCCATGTTTGCAAAGGCTTTGTTCTGTAGTAGCATTGACAAGAGCTACAAAACCCAGTTCTGCTGTTTACATTTCTTTAGCTTTCTAGCTTATTTCTGTAAAAGATAATCTCCTTTAATGCTTTTTACACAAACACGTTCAAACAAAAATATTCTTAGGGGTATTTTAAGATGGTTTGCGCTTCAACAGTAGCCTTTGACCTATGTCATCCTGCAGGGTTCTATTCCATACCCCATGCTCTTTAACAGCCTTATGAAGTTACTGGGTGAGGTCATCTGGAGCTTTGGGCTGGGCTGTCACCATTAGGTGGATGGCAGCACTATCTCATACTTACCAGTGCCTGGAGGCAGTTTTGTGGTGGATATGGGCTAAGAAACTGAAGCCAAAGCCTGACAAGACGTGCTCCTGGTAAGTGGAAGGACTGCTGTCCTATTCTGGATGCCATTAGACTTTCCTTGAAGGAGCAGGCCCACAGCTGGGAGTTGCTGCTGGACTTGGGCCTACTGCTGGATGAGCAGCTGGTGGTGACCAGGAGTGACTTTAACCAGCTTCCACATTAGCCAGCTGCAACCTTCCCTGAGAAGAAAAAGTCTGGCCACTGTGGTACATGCCTTGGTAACATCTAGAGTACAGTACTGCAATGCACTGTGCGAACACTTAAAAAGTGTTCAGACACCTTAAGTTGTACTGAATGCTGCAGCCAGGATGTTGACTGGGGTGGTTCATAGGAGCCATATCATGTATTTATTTATTTGATTTTTACCCTGCCCTCCCCGCTGAAGCAGGCTCAGGGCAGCTAGTCTGGATCAGTCTACACTGGCTCCTGGTTTGTTTCCAAATCCAGTTCTGTGTGCTGGTGCCTTTACAGCCTTATTTGGTGTGGGACCAGCATACCTTAAGAATTGCCTACTGCCATATGAAACTACCCAACCACTCTAATCATCTTCTGAGCCCCTGCTTCAGGTGTCCCACTCTCTCAAGTTAGATGGGTGGCAACCTGAGAGAGGTATATTTATCTCTCTGCCTCTATCATTGTCTTCCACCAGCAGGTGAAGACTTGCCTTATGTTTTCATTGCTGTCTGTGTTTTCATTGCTGTCTGTGTTTTCATTGCTGTCTGTGTTTTCATTG